TCAGACTTCTTTGAGATGGGTTTTTTGGTTAACAATCATAATTTACTCAACTAATCCAATTAATTAGCACAGTATACCAAACCATGAACTAACCATATGACCTGATTTTGCATGGTACCCTACGCTAAAATATGGTTGGCTAGTTTGTGGTACTAATATATTGTGTGAACATAGCCAGGGGTTAGTTACCCAGATAGAAAAAACTATTTGAAAGCATATTTGATATATAATTTAGCAAATAACTTCCCAACATCATCTTGTTAAGAGTCATGAAATTAATTAAAAAGTGAAATGATAATGAAAACATGACATTGAAATGAAATGCAAAACAAATCATGTCATTAATGATAATCTTTCTGAAAGATAAAAGATATAATTCAGATTGCAAAAAAACCCCATGCAATTTCATTATGTATGGAACAGAAAACATACTGATGAATTTTTGAAATATTTTCTGACGTATAAGCTTTATTACATTAATATTTACAGTAAGTACAAGCAATGATCAGGATAGAAAATAATCTTTTGATTTGCAGATTCATATAGGAAAACAAAAAGCCTCATGGAACATCTGTGGGTATTCTCAGTAATTCTTCAACTTCTTGTTGTAAAGCCTCAGTCTTTTCAGCAAGGACCATCTGCATCCAAAGACAAAAAAGTCAAATTATTTTTTTAATGTATTGACTGTGTATCTGAAACTACATAGCTCCCAAGATGACATATATTTATTTCTTAGAAGGATCACTGGGAGCAGAGACTAGACTGAGCCTTAATTCTTATGAGGCCTCCAACTTTATTTTCTTCCAGATCAATCAATGCCTGCATTTAGATTAAAAAAAAAACAAGCACTACACTTATTTTACTTGTAACAAAGGCAAAATCTGCCATCTATTATACCTGATCCACAATCAACACACGCACCCTGCAGGGATCCTTGCAACAGATAAGATCCCCACTACCTATCTTCTACCTGTCATAACAAGGGGTGCCTTTTTTTTAAAGTAGCACACACAGCTCATCACAGATATCAGCAGATGTTTCTCCAAAACAACACTGGATTTCACCCCAACAGTCCCAAATCCACAAGGCTCAGGATAGCTATTTAAATGATGACAGAATGGCTACCTGCCAAAGATAAAGATTATCTTTCATCCTGAGTTCCATTGAGGGCTACATAAGACCATTCCCACTCAAACAGCAGTTGGTTCAGAGTGTTTCACTGCATCTTTATTTACCTTTGCAGATGAAACTATTTTTCTGGCCTGAGTTCTGGACAAATGCACAACAGTCTTGACTAGAACTTCTGGATCTGCATTGGCCAAATGAGCTAAGGTTTTATAGCCCAAGTTGTAGAGTTGCCTGGCTCGAGCCTGTGAAGCAATGGGGAAGCTAATTAAAGGAAAGGGTTAACAATGGATCAAGACATTAGATAACAGGCCTCTGTGGTTACCCTCTTATAATGAATAGCCAATGATTAACTCTGCCCCCAAACTGATTATGTGCCATCAAGTTGGTGCTCACGCTTAAGAACCACACAGACAGACCTCAAGTACTGCCCCTTTTTTGTATATCAGTGTTGTCCAAACTTGGCCACTTTAAGATGAGTGGACTTCAACTCCCAGAATTCCCCAGCCAGCAT